CCTTTTAAGTTGGTATCTCATGCCCCATGTATTATAAGATCTATTCATTCTGGCAGACAGAAACACAAATGAAATATTCTCCAATTCTGTGTGAGCTCTGGGAATTGATTGGCCTACCAATTGATTGTGCACGCTTGTATGTTTTAACTCCCAGCTTAGTAGAATTTTACCTTTGCGTGTACATGTCAGCATTCAGATTTTTTCCTTCTTTGGGTGGTACTGTGTCTTGATCCCAGATTCTCACACGCTAAGCACACACCCCGTCACTGAGCTACCTCCCAGGTGCCAGCCCAACACTGAGGGGGACATTCTATAGATATCCAAACTCCTCTGTCATTTCCTCATCTCCAGTGTTCTGCCTTTCCATTTCTGGCCAACTCCTCCAAAAATTCCAATCTCTTCCTTCTATACTCAAGCCTGAGGGCTCTATTGTGCTCCCTTCTAAGCAGTGATCCTTACCCACGAAGTTCAGGAAAGCACTTCTAGGCAGTAAGCTGAGACAATCATAGGGCCTTTATTTCCCTTTTCTCAAAAAGTTCTACACCACCTGCTATCCTGTATCTGTAAACATTTTAAAATACTTTGTTTCTGTTTTTGTAATTTATAGTGGGAAGGCAATTTGTAGCTGTGATTCCTTCATGAGTGGAAGTAGGAGTCTTCTTGAGCCAGTTTTTCAGCTAGAAACGACTGGAAGCTACACTCCTAAGAGAAAGGACTCTGAAACACCAAGACAAGTGTATAATAATTACCCCAGTCCTATCCCACAGAGACTTGTGACCTTTTATGTACATAATACAAATCAGAGAAAGAGGAATACCTAAATCTTTTGAGAACTGTTGGATACAGTTTTATTTGACATTCGCATCCCAGGATCGGATATCCTACCATTGTGGACCTCTATTACAGTGGCAGTGCAGAATGATAAAATTCAGGTTCAGGTCTGGCTCTCAGGACAATCAGGACAGTCTGAGGACAGAGGCTCCAGGGAGAACAGTCAAAGCAGGATCTCCTTTATTGAGAAAACACACACAGCTAGTATAATGTACAGAAGCCAAACAAGGTAAAGGTCAGCAGGGTGGGGAGAATTTACATCTACACCCGTCCTACAGGCAGTAATGGGAGACACGAGCTGTCCTTGAGGGCAGAAGGGTTCTGAGCCTATCCTAGAGGTGGTCCAATTCTTCATCACAACCCACAGCAATGCCTTCTGGCTAATCGCCAGGTGCTGTCTTAGCCACAAGTGGCCCCAGGACTGGGAAGCGGGTAGCAGCCAGCAAGTTAAGTTTCCTCTTTTCTGATGCAACATGCCCCACGTTACATCATGCCCTACACAAGTGCTGGGGATGTGGCTCAGTGGTTAAGCGCCCCTGGGTTCAATCCCTGGTACTTGCTTTCACTATTGAGAAATAATAATACACGGTTATAGCTCGTCCCTGGACCATGCCCAACCCTCTGTTAAAACATAGTATGAAGGAATGTGGCCCATCTGGACATTCCATACACCCTAGTACTTTATTGGTAATTGTACAGGATGAGCAAGAAATGGGGCCTTGGCAGAATAAAAGTCCTTCAAATGGTGGTACACAAACTGAGTACAAGCAGGTTTCCAGAATCCTGCCCGTCAGCAAAGTTCCTGGAAGTCCAGTGACCTGGAGCACAAAAGGGTATTCCCTCGTAAGTGAAGGAGATCTGCATTTTACACTTCTATTCAGAAGGGAGCTCAGTGCCGAGGTTTACAGATAGTATATTCCACCCGCCGGACTGAAGTGGCACCCCCTTTCTCCACAGAAAAGCCCTCTTCACCATGGCTGATTTTAGGACTGTCAGCAAAAGAGTCCAATGTAGGTAAACTTCCTATTTTCATGTCGCCCTGTTTACTTGGCCACCGGCTGAGAGGATACAGCACTCCAGGTGCTGGACACCCCTTACTAGTTTTTCATAAACGTATCCAGTATAGTACTTTGAAGTAATGTGCAAACAAGGCCTCTGTCCTTGAGCTGGGCTTCACAGAGATGTCTACATTTTTAAGATAAGTTACAACTGGGCTCCATGGTAACAGCTGGCAGGGGAGGAAAGAAAGGGGAGAAGAAGCTCTCCCCTTCTCAGGTGTGGTCCTTGAAGAGTTAACTTGCCCAGAACAGTGAAAGAAAAAGCTGCTTTTATGTGAACTTCTGAGCCCCTCCCCTTACACGCTGGGTATAAAACTCTGAAACTCCCTGAACTCGGGGTTCAGGGGATTGATTGATTACAGAAAAGCTGTACCCTCTGAACCTGGCTGCAGCCAAATAAAACTGTTTCCTGCTATCTTCGGTGTCTTGCCTCGTTTGTCCCTACAACAGGACTACTGCTTTGACACAAATATCAGGTGACAATAAAAACTGCCAAGTGTGGGTGGGATGCAGAGCAGGAAAAAGCTGTGCAGCAGGTCTGGACTGTGGCCCAAATGGTCCTACTGCTTCATCTAAAAAACACCATATTATATTAGAGGTGTCAGTGGTAGGAAAAGACCACACAATGTTTATTGCAAGCCCTAGTAGGAAGAGGCACACAGATCTCACAGCTCTGGAGCAAGGCCATGCCTTTGGAAAATGAGAATTATTCAAACTTTCAAAAGTTTGCTCCTGGCCTGCTACTGAGTTCTAGTTGATGCCCATGGGACATCAAGTGGCCATGTTGCCAGAAATAATTATTATACTCTGGGTTTTGTCAGACCCACAACTCATATCGTGGGGGAGGGGTGGCCCAGCAGCAATCTTTCATAAGATGGAAGTGATATGTACAGAATTTGGCACAAGCAAGGAGAGAAAGCAAAGGCAAGCTGCATAGCAGTGACCAGACTGTCACTTGCCATTGTTGAACTCCTAACTCTGGGCTCTGAGGGTTTAGAAGTCCTGGTCCCCCGGTCCCCCGCACCCCCCAAAAAAATATTTCTATCAGTAGACAAACACATAGCTTACACTCTAAGCTTCAGATCAATGCCAAGAGACAAGAAGGTAAGGCAAAGAGACACTATCTAACAGGAGTAACTGACCTTGATCATCAGCAGATGGGGCTGCTGTTACACAATGGGGACAAGAAACAATGTATAGGCACTCAGGCCATTCATGAGTATCTTTCTTTCTCTTGCCCTATTTTGAAGATAAAGGACAAGTACAATCATGGCCTAAGAAGAATATGATGGTTAGGCACCTAATCAGGTAACCCACTTGGACCAGCAGAAGTATAAGTCTAAGGGGGTAGGTCAGCTAAAAAATCTAGAATGGGTTGAGCAGGAGGAAGATGAATACCAGTTGTACATTCAAATCAAGCTAAAGCAGGAAGGGACTAGTCTGCCCCAGATTTTTAAAAAATTTACCATGAAAAGAGATGCACTAGAAGGATCTATTCCAGAATTTATAAAGCAAATGGTTCTGAGCAGTTCAAAAAGTGGACTGACTACTATAGGACTGAAGCATTCAGTCCCCAAATTGCTGAAAAAGCTGACAGCTGGTAGTTCTTACCCGAGCCCCCTTTGGGAACAACCGTTGGCTGAAGCTCTCTACCTCACCCAGGTCATGCCCTTTTCTGGGCCAGATAGAAAGATATGTAGGCTTAACCCACCTGCTTATTGGAGCATCCTAGTTTGAGCTTCTAGTACAATCCAGAGTCCTTTTGTAAGATGGCATCAGCTCAACTTTTTCCTCTACCCAACCCTGTTTCTGTTTCTCCCCAACAAGCATTGATTCAGAGGACTCCCTCCCAATAAACTTTCTCCATACAAATCTCCAACTGTTCTTGCCAGGAAATTAACCTAGAAGTATTTAACATTTTTTGAAATAAGCTGTGTGAAATGTGCCTGTTGCTCAATTTCAGAGAACATCAGAATGGTGATCAATTGAAAGATGCTATTATATAAGTCTTCCATTTCAAGAAAAGTAGGAACGGCAAATTTCAAACAGTACTAGTCCTCCATCTGATTTAGAGCGTTCTGGCACGTGTGAGGGTGGGTGTAGTTATCAGTGCAAGTATTGATAGACCTTATTTGGGATGAAAATGCTTAACTGGCTCAGAGTGACAAGTCAGCTTAAATAGGATGACAGAAACAGATCTCTGAGCTTCTGGTGGGTTTGACAGGAGTCTTATCTTTACCTCCCCTCAATTGCATGAACTCAATTATATATGAGTGAACCTGGCACAATCCACCTGTCAATATAAACTTATGCAGAACTATTTACTTCATCTCCCATCAAGACATCTATCCGTACAACTTAGTGAGTTCCTTATCTTCATTGTGCTCAAGAATTTCAGGAGGTAGTTCAAAAAACAATTTTCAGAATTCCAGAAGCTCATTCAAGAAATAATATACACATATACATTCCTTTTTAAAGCTTCTTTCATCCCAGCTTCATTTTCCATCAATTACCTGTAGGCCTTATTCAGATCTCCTTAGAGAAGCAGAATCATGTTATTCTTATTAATGACTATATCACTATATTTAATGACAGTAAGCTTTAAGACTAAAGACATATCAGCTTATTCAGAGTAATTTGCTCAGAGCAACTACAGAATATCGCAAGCTGATATATTCTCTCCTTTTTTTGGGGGGGGGGCAGCAAACCTCAGTGCTCAAGAACATATTCCACTTGGATGTCTTATCCCCAGTGTACTCAAGTCCAGTTAAAACAAACAAACAAACAAAAAAAGCACACCTCTTTTATTCAAGTGTGTGATATTGGGAATTGAACCCAGCGGCACTCTCCCATTGAGCTACAACCTCAGATCTTTTTATTTTTTGAAACAAGGATGCACAAGCTGGTCTTGAACTTCTGATCCTCTTGCCTCAGTCTCCCAAATCATTGGGATTACAGGTGTGTGCCATTATACCTATCAATAATGCACATTTTATTTCTGTTTGAGATACAAATATTCAGTTTGGATGATGAAATTAAAGACAATGGCTAACTCTTCCATTTGTTTCAATCAACTCCAAGAAAAGAAAAGACTAAATAGAATCTAAACTGTTTCAATCCACTGGTATCCAGTTTATCAAATCAACAGCCTAGTACTTCTTTGGCAAAAGTGCTCTGATAGAGCTGGATATGATGGAGACGGCGAATATGGAGAATTCAACATGTATATACCGTTCAGTCCGATGAGTCCAAATGTTCTCTAAAATTCCATATTTGGTCAGGTATGGGAGTGCGATCAGGGTACTGGCCCCTTTTTGTTCCACTGCTACTGATTCTGCTTTTCAGTCTTGCAGGGAGAGTAGGTTCAGAGAGTCTGGGAACTGGTGGAGGTCAGGCCCTTGGCAGCTTGTTGGGCCAACCAGAACTTATATCTTTTGGTCCTGGGCTTTTCAAAGTTTACCACAGACATAGGAACTCTCACGGTGTCAAGCCCATTGACCTGAACACATAACAAGAAGAATCCTTAAGGATCAGTCAGGCAGGTAATGACTAACACCACAGAATCCCAGCTCTTCATACTGATTTCTCACCCAGTAAGAAAAAGGAAAAATTACATGAAACACTCACCGTCACCTCACACCAGTACTCGCCCCACCGTGTGATAGGCTCCTCTGGTAGTTTCAATGCATGAGGGGCAACCACGACACCAAGCTGCAAAAAAAAAAAAAATCAGCCAAATGAACTCATGGCTTCCACTCTAGGCAACCTCATAAAGCAGGTTCTACGACTTCCTATAGAGGGATGACTAAAACTGGGGAGCTCACTAGAGCTGATCCCCTGGGAAGGCACAGACTCCCCAGAAAGTAGCAGAGAAACTGAGGTAGATTCACAAAAGAAAACAGGGCTTGAGACCAAAATTACTTCATCTACAAAGTAACAATTCTCTAGTGAATCATAAATCCCCAGGTTCTCCCTAGCTAGAGAGAAAATAAATGGAAACCATAACCTTTTCCTATCAAATCTTTAAAGTCTCTGCCTATCTTTAGTTCTTAGCCATTTCCTTCCCACACCCTTCAAAAATCTGAGAAACCTTCCTTCTCCAGTTAGATGATCAGATCCTTTCCTGACAAAGGGTTCAAGGCTGGGCCTCCTTCCCAGAAGTAGCTTTCCCCCTCAGGAGTATGGTGATATTTGCAAACACTCACATTCTTAAGGAAGTGGCGGGCAACTATTTCAGAATTCAGCTCCCATTTGACATTGTTCTTCATTCCTACCTCCAAGTGACAGTTTCTCAGAAATTTCACTGTCTGAAAGGAATTATAAATAGGATGGGGTCTGAACTGTAGTCCAAGAAGAGGAAACATGTTAGAAGGAGTTATAATGATTGAGAGTTTCAGGTAAAGGTCATTATTTCTACCTCACAGCCAAGACAGGTGAGAAAGGAGTAAGAATGACAAAACATTCTTATTGTCTTAAGGCTGCTGTGATAGATATTTTAGCAATACTTTGTGGGTGGGTGGAGTGTGTGTGTTACCTATACCTTGCTATTCTTAAGCAAGGAGAAATAGACATGTTAAAGTCACAAACGCCAATGGAGGCCCCCAGTATATCTCAGGATGGAGTAACGTTCAGAGACTTAATTTTAACCCCAAATTTCTGACCCTTGAAATCCACCCATATCCCATTAATGGCTCTTTCCTGATTACAGAATAAAGTATAAATTCATTAATTGAAGACTCAAGATGTTTTGTATATCTTGTCCCAATCCCCTTTTCAGTCATGTTTCTTAATATTACACTATATAAATCCTCTACTTTAGTTAAACTGGTCTACTCTAGGTTAAAACATGCCTTAATTTTCTACTTTTTTTCTCCCTTAAAAACACTTTCCCCATCTTCCTGGCCTATTCAAAGCTAACTAATCCCAAAAGGTCTAATTTAGTCCCAACTGGGAGGAAAAAAAAAAAAAAAAAAAAGCCCTCCTCAATTACTCTGGAACTCATTATGGTCTATATAACTCTTATAACTTACCACCTTGAGTTTACCCATTACCTTCTGATGTGTCTAGTTCTTCCCAACTTGTCTGTACTATCTCTGAAGGCAGAGTCCTCAGCTCACATTTTTCTATAGATCTCCTAGTTTCCAGATTGGGAACTCCCTCAATAATTAGGGCACTTCTCCCAACAGGTCAGGACTACCAAGATGTCTCCATACCAGTTATGTGGGGTGATCAGAAAACGTCAAGAGAATCAGGGAAACTCTTAGAAAGAGGTTGGTGACTCCTGTAAATGGCCAATAAAGGCTTCCTATGTTTCTACTCACCGCCTCGCCTGCCTTGGTCTGGATCCTCTCTAATTTTCCTTCTTGTCTCAGCTAGAAAAGCAAGTTAAAAGTGAAAATAAGTAAAAGAAAAATGAGCCCACGTTAAACAACGCCAGACTCTTACTATGCTGGACACAGGCCGGGCTTCTGCATCTCTGTTCCGACTTCATTTTCAAATTAAGCAGTAAAAGGAAGGCACTTGCCAGAGGAAACCTTAAAATTTAATCCTCACTGTCCCTCTGTCTTTCCTTTGAGCTCACCAATTTCTCTTCTTCGAACAGCTTTCGGTTTTCAGGGGATGCGTACACGGCGAGTCCTTGGGGAAGGAGCCGATTGCGACCCAAAGACTTGCTGACAGAAACCAGGTCACCGCGGACTCCAAGTTCTGCCATGGGAAACAGAGGCCGTCGGTGACAACGGTCTGGCCCCCACAGGAGCGCTGGCCCGTCCTGGAGGCCGTGCCCAGCACGGGGGAGCCGGGGGGAGCCGGGGGAGCCCGGGCCTTACTCTCCACAGACTGCGTGAGGATGAGCTCCAGGTTCTCCTTTGGCCGGTGTTTCGTGTCCTCCACCAGCTTGTAGACGCGGTGTCGCCGGTGCAGACGCGGCTTGCGGCCCTCCCCGGCCAGCGGCACCTTCCACCAGCGCTCCACGACCACCGTGCCCTGGCGGCCGAGCAGACGGAGTGAGCGAGCCGCCCGCGCCCCG